ATGGGGGGTGAGTAAGATCATCAGGTGCCAGGCCATGACTAATACACCCTTGGGCAGCTGCTGCTCTGGTGCACAAATCTGTAAGCACATCATGTAGTCCATACTTTGTATTCCTCTTGATTATAGTAAGATTATTCCTCCAGGGCATTTTATCTTTGATCAGAGAAACAGGACTGATGGAGGGAAATAGAATACAGAAATATGGCCCACCTTCCGAATTTATCCAAAAGGTCAAAATTGTACCTGTTTGGATGAAGAATCATTCATCCTTATATTCCAGGTGCTTTGTACAGTAGGGCAACTCATACTCCATCATGAGTTCTAAGTGTTTTTCTGTGCGCTGCCATATTTTTTTGAGCAATAGTTAAGGTGTATGTTTTTCTGAAGCTGATAGTACCTGGCCATGAACTTTGAAAAGTCCAGTGACAGATCTTCAAGGGTGGCTGGATCTTCAGGTAATATCTCTGGGCCTCCCCATTGCTCAGAAGCTCAGGTGCTCTCCTGATGCCTGGTGCAGCCCTGGACCCTCACCTCCACCTCGCTTCCCTGGAGAGAGAAGGAAAGCCATACACCTTCCCACAGCCCCTGGAGAAAACTTCGAGAGCTCCTTCCTTGAATAGGCCCAGGTGTTTGAGGGTGTGGAGCTATTGGTGGCCCGTGGCGGGTGGTGGAGTGGAGATCAGCCTTGTCCAAACTATATGGAATGAGGAGCTCTGTGACTAGAAAAGGAAAGGCAGGCTGAGCAGGTGACAAGCATGGCTATTGATGACAGCTGGTATCACAAATCAGCTCTTTGCAGTGTTGCCTTAGCTTGTCTGTGATTTGAAGGACATGAGTTACCAAGTGGGAGGAGTGGAATCCCTTCTGTCCTTTATGCTGATCTGATCTCCTTGGCCATGTGGGGCTGGCTGGATCCCATTTTCTAGACCAATGGCTGCCACATTTTTGTGTTTTAGTTTCACAGGTGAGAAACATTAAAAAAAAAAAAAAGAGTAGGTCATTGGGTTGCCAACCTTTAAAACAAAAACCAAATAAGCCTCTGATAAAATTAAGGACATCTTATAAACAAAGATGGGGCATTCTCTGAAAAAGGATGAGTACTTTTAACCATATGGAGAAGTTAATGCCATTTAGGATTTTCCTGAAGTGTTTTCACTGATGCAGGGTCTCTGGTGTGACCCGCCTACTGTGTTTGTTGTGTGGCTAGTCAGCAGCAGGGTGCAGGCTAGAACATAGGCCTCTTGGTTCTCAGGTTGGCCCTCCAGGTCAGATATTAATAAAAATGCCAGAATTTTAATGAAAACTCCAGTGCATTTATTTATTTATTTATTTAATTTTATTATTTAATTTTATTTTTCTAAATATATCTTTATTGATTTCAGAGAGGGGAAAGGAGAGGGAGAGAGAGAGATAGAAACATCAATGATGAGAGAGTCACTGATCGAGCCCACAACCTGGGCATGTGCCCTGACCGGGAATCGAACCCCGATCGCCTGGATCCTAGGTCCACTCCCAACCGCTGAGCCACGCCCGGCTGGGCAAAACTCCAGTGCATTTAATCTAGAGCTTTTGTATGACATCTCGGTTCATATTTGTGAATCACAAGTGAAAGTGGTCATTGGTGCCATCAAAGTTTAGTTCTTTACAATAAATTCTTAAAGTTGATTGGCGTTTGGGAGCCTCCATGTTGTAAAACTGCCCCCTCCTTCCCAATAGATTGAGCACTTACTGTGTGTCGAGCACTGCCATGAGCACTAGGGATGCAGCCACTAACAAAACTGGAGTCTCTGCCTGGTAAAGTCTACATTCTAGTGAGGGAGACAGACAACAAATAGAGAAAAAATATAATTCAGTTTGTGCAAGTTCCAGGAAGATGTTTTTCAAATCCTTTGATCTATGGATTAACCTTTTGGATAGGAGTGAAGTCATACCCATTTTATACCAAATCCCATTATTTTGTAGGCTTTCCTGTGTTGGGGGACTTATCTGCAAGCAACATGACTGGTGGGAAAGGGGAAGCAGGTGGCCCCAGGCACAACTGGGGTTAAGAAAACCTGGGTTCTCAAGGGTCCATTTTTATCCCACGCCTGAAACTGTGGTGAATTCAGGTGTCATCTAGGCTGGTGTGACCTTCTAAGACTAACAGATCACAGAACGCACTGAGCACAAAGAGAGAGTGGGGGCATAAATATGTCAGCTACTAATGTGCGTGCTTTCCCCTGTGCTGGGCACTGTACTGAACGCCGATGCAGTAGCTCAGGTGATCCTCCCAATCACGGTTGGTTTTTCTTGTCCCCACTTTACAGGTGAGGAAATCCAGTCTTAGTGGAGAAGTAAAGTGACTTATCCAAGGTCTTAAGGCCAGTGAGCAGTGGAGTAAGGAAGTTAGCTGCAGAGCCTGTTTGCTTAGTCTCCACCATAACCAGGATAAATTGGGCCAGTAGTGTCAGTGCCCAATAGGTAAGCCAGGCAGCAGCCAATGGAAAAAATAGTGATACTTCGGGAAGGGCTGTGGTGTGATAGGCAGGCACATGGGTGCCCAGGGTTGTTTCACTGGGCCAACAACAGGAAACTAGTTCCAGACCCCAGCTGCTTTGGGCGGAAGCTGTTAAAATCTCCCTTGCCTAGGCCAGGACTTTCTTCCAGGCTCTGTGGCTGTCATACCTGAGTGGGGTGGGGTGGGGTGGGAAGGAGTTGTTTGCTACCAGAGTGTGCCTTGGTGTGTGCACTTTCTTTCCTCTTAGCTGTCTGTTAGGCCAGAGTTACGGTCAGAAGGGGATATTTCTGTTTCTGCTGCTTGCTTCTTGTGTGGGCCTTGGGCAGCTTAATGACTCTAGGCCCCAATTCTCAAACCTGTAAATGGGGATAACATTTAACTACTTCACAGGATGAGAGTGAGCTTGAAGTGGATAAGTGGTAGACACTTTGGATGGCAGTGGGGTTGATATGATCAACACCAAAACTAACTTTGAAAATAGCCCCATTTGAGGGTGGAAAAAGTTCTCTATTTTTGTCTGTCTGTTTAGTGGAGAGGGGTACACAGGTGGGTGGTGCATGGAGAAGAGATTCTGAAAATAAGCAGGCTGTATCCAGGGGTTAATGGTATGCATATCTCTTGGGGGCTAGATGACATGCTGCTCCTTGTATAAGAAATGGTCCATTTCACTGAGGCCAGAATTGATGTGAGCTACAAGGCTGGGCAATCGTCTTCTAGTTGTGCCAGACAGAGCCTTACAGGCTGAGTTCTGAAGCACCCTGGGGTCAGCAGAGGTGCCCTGAGAGGCCCACAGAGGCTGGGCGGTCTCTGAGGTAGTGGCGGTCTCTGTCCCCATCGCTCTGATGGTGGAAAGGTCTTCCTTTGGGAGGAACACAGGCACTGGTGTAGCTGTCGGCCCCTCTGCTGAGCTGCTCTTCTGGGTGTCCTTGCCACATGATTTAACTTTTCCATTTGGAAGGGCTGTTGGTGCAGTTGGCAGCCACTTGCCTGGTAAACGATATGGTGGGGCCTCCATAAACCCAGGCCCATGAAACGAATAAGTCAGCACATTGAAAATACAGCGTGGAAGTGACTCAAGCTTGAAGGAATCCATCTCTGAAAGTGCTGCCATCCCTTACTGGAATATTTTGGTGGAAATTGATGCTTGAGTTGGGAAGAAGAGGCCAGTGGCCTGGTTACTAGCAGGGCCATGTGTCACATTCAGCACCATTTGCCCCGAGATTCAGCCCTACCTGCCCCAGACCTTGGAGCCCTCTTTGTCATTGAGGTGGCCCCAGGCAGGTCAACCTGATAGAAGCCCGCTGGCACCCCGGGCTGTGAGAAGCTGGTGTGACCCTGTCTTTGCAGCAGGTAAGGTTGACTCTACAAGTCAACCTGGTAATGCTTGGCCAGGGACCTGGAAAATATTGGAAACTGCACCCAGCATGGGAGCCTGTGGGAGTTCTCTGCCGTGGATGGGTTACTCTTCTCAGAGTTCTGTGCATTCCTGTGTATTTGAAACGTTTACATTCTTCTCGGGACTTCAGCTTGTACTTTGCCCACCAGAGACCAATACTGAGCATATACATACTTAAATGTACTAGACCACCCTGGCGACCAGGTAATTAAAGCTGAATGCAGATTTGGAAGGAAGGCTGTATTGGAAATCATGCTCTGCTGTAATTCAAGAACAGGTTTCTTTATAGAGGGACACAGTTGGTGTCAGACACATGTGGAAAAGAAAAGAACAGGCCCATAATTCTGGCAGAGTACCAAGGGCCAGATGTTAAACATGCTGACCGTGATCTGGCTGCAGTTGTCGTTAGCCAGCCTGGATCTGATGTGTTATTTTAACCCCTGTTTCTGCCTTTTCCTTTCTCTCTGCCAGGTCCCCAGTCTATGTGAAGATCTCCTGTCTTCTGTTGACCAGCCACTGAAAATCGCCAGAGACAAGGTGGTGGGAAAGGATTACCTTTTGTGTGACTACAACAGAGATGGAGACTCCTATAGGTGAGCTCCTGCCTCTAGAGTTCAGCAGGCACGCCAGGCTGCACCGTGGGCACCCAGTACCATGTGGCAGCACCTGGACCACTGAACAGGACAGACATTTGTCTTTCTGCTAGTTCTTCCTCCCTGTCTCCCTCCTTTCTTCCCGTCTTTCCATCTATCCTTCCATGCAATCAACCAGTAGATGTTGTGGAGTGCCTCTAATGAGTATCGGAGATGCAGTATGAACAAAAGGCCTCTGCCCTGGTGGAGTTTACAGTCTAAAGGGAGAGGGATGTTGTTACAGAGCAATGAGCAGTTTCATTGTAATTAAGTAATGCAAGGTTAAGATACAGGGTGTGGACATGATGGAGGTCCTGAGCACGGAGAGGGCCTATGTATATTTAAGGAACATTTGAATGCAGCTTTGTCAAACAAATATGCAACTCTTCTTTCTCTTTTCCATCACCATGCTGAGTGTAATAAATAAGGTGACATGAGTCCCTATCCTGGTGATCAATGGTCTAGAACCAGACATGATTACCTGTACGACATGATTCATGTAGACAGTGCCAAGCTTATTCAGGGTTTGAGGGTAACATAGAGGAGACCATGGTTGAGTCCAGGAAGACTTTCTGAAGGAGGTGATGTCTGACCTAGGTTTTTAAGGGTGTCTAGGAGTTCTTCCTATTAAAGATTGGGAACCCTAAACGAGTCCAGTATTTCTGTGATGGACCGCTATAGCCAGTGCCTTGGGGAATGTGGAGGAACACATCTGCTTTAGGCTTATTTGGAGCCCACAGAACCTGGGCTGTCTTGAAGCTTCACCCTATTGCTCTTTTTGGGGAGTGGAGGGTCAGGGTCAGAGAAAAAACTAGCTAGAGCCAGCTGACCTGGCCCCAAACCGGCACTGCCCCCTATAGCAATGGGGACTTTGACCAGTTGCTTGTTATCCTTTGTCTTTAGTTTTCTCGCATAGAAAAAGGAAATAATAGTATTTGTTCTTTCAGCATCCTACTTATAACATCTCTCTGTAAGCATGTACTGTATGTGTCAGGCACTATTCGAAGTCACTCTTCAGTGGAGCTTATATCCTAGTGAGGAAGCCATATAGTAAGCAAATGTGTAAATAATATAGACTGAAAACTGAATAAAGAACATAAAAAGGACAAGAGAGAGGCGGGACGGGTAGACAGGGAAGGCTCTTGTTAGTGTAATGTTTGAAGTGAGATTTAAGGATGAAAGAGTTCAGCCCAGCACAGGTCTGGGAGAAGAGCATGCTGGGAGTGGTGGCCCTGGGAGAAGCTGCGCTGGTCAGGATCAAACCTGAAGGAAGGCCGGAGTGCGAGGAGGCAGTGAGGAGGGTGGGAGATGAGTCAGAGGCGTGGTGGGGACAGGTTGTGCAGGGCCTTCGAGGCTAGGGTGAGGGTAATAGGACAGGGCTACTGGAGGAATTAAAAGAAATAACATATGCAGAAGTACTGAGGAGCACAGAAGTTACCATTAAATGTCAAAGATTTAATGAATACTGACTTTCAAGAGACTAGACAATTGTTTTATAGTCATGTTCGTTTTCTAGCTTCAGGTAGAAGTTAGGTAGAGAATGTGTTTTAGCCTAATCCAAGCCAGACCAGAGACTAGAGTGGAGATATTTCAGTGAATACTAGTTACTTTTAAAAAATAGAGCCAGCAGAGTTTGCGGGTGGGTGCGGTGTGAAGGGCAGTTGTGGGGCTTTGGGCCTGAGCAGCTGGAAGGTGGGGTCATTGTTTATTGAGGTGAGGAAGACTCTGGGATTTGCTGGTTTGGGGGCATTTTAAGCTCGAGATGCCCATTGGGCGAAAGTGAAGGTGTCTGGTAGGCTGTAGGTAGTCTAGTCGTCTGGGTGGAGAGGAGATGCAGGTGTGGGAGTCCCCAGCTGAGAGGTGTTGCGAGCCCTGAGGCAGAGCAGGTTCAGCTTCAAGGGCCAGTCACTGTATAGGGTTTGAGCATAGGTCCACGTCCAGCCTCCTAGGAAAGGGTGGACCAGCCCTTTGAGACAGAAGTCTGTGAGGTGCTAAGTGGTCCAACAGACCAGGGAGCTCATCACCAAAGGATGGGGTTCAGCTTTGCCAGGTATGGGGTTCAGAGGAGGCTTCCTGGAAGAGGGGATCCTTCAGCTGAGGTCATTATGTTTCTTTTTCCACCTGAAAACTACAGCTTGCTGTTTGAGGCAGCTGTTCCCCAGCAGCCTGTGGAAGGCTGGGATCATTTCCACATCCATGTTGAGGCCGGGCTACCCCTGGGCCTTGGTACTTGCTTCCCCTCCTAGCCTCCCTGCCAACTCCCACTTTCCTTCCTCAGGCACTGCAGAGAGGCATAGGGGATCTTAGCCGAAGAGGAGCCCGGGGTGTCAGGGCCCAGGACTTTGCTTCCCTTTTTCCTCTTCTCGATATAAAACACTTCAAGGTCTTCTGATTTTCTCCACACATTTCCATCCTAACTGTTTGATCGTTTGCTTAAATAAGATCCTTATGGTGTGACCGTTGCCAGCAGCACTGTTTGAAACCTGTTAGCTGAAACAAAAAGCATTCTCTGAGGGAAATGAAAGGCCTGACTTTTGAAATCTAAGTGTTCCTGTCCATCTGTCTTTTTTCAAATGGCCTCCATTTAAGCTCTTAAATGTGTTCTGAGTGCCCCTTCCACTAAGAATATTCTGGGTAATGTTATGATTTTTCCCCCAGCTACAATTACCCCGGCTCCAGGACTAACGGCTTGAAATGCTGTCGTCTGTGAGCCAGGAGAAATGTGAGTTACAGGCTTCTTGAAAATTCCAGGCCCCCAGCCTGCAAGAGAGATGGGCTCTTGCCTCTCATCAGGTCGTCTTGTAATGAAAGCCAGTTGGGGCGGGTCTTCCAGGCACACAGGAGGGCGATGGCCCTTTAACTAGGGAAACGCAGGTCAGAGCACAAGTGTGTCAAGGAGGAGACTCAAAGAAAGCACATAAGGGAAGGGGGGTTCAGATTCTCGTTCTCTGGCTGTTTCCTACACCCGCTGGTGAGGGAGGTACCAAGCCTAGTTTACAATAGGGGAGGTGACTGCGCCCTTCGAGGCCTCAGCAGAAAATGCAGAAAGTTGCTCCATCTCTGTTGGTTTGCAGGACCACCAGCAGACAGTATTCCTGGGTCCTTCCTCCCCACCCCATGCTGTCCATCACCAGCCCTTACTGCACACAGACTCAGTGCTCGGAGCTTGGGCGTGGAGGCAAACAGCACAGGCTCCCTTCACCATGTTCTCAGGCTCAGGAAGGGTAGGGCTATGGTAAGAATTGTCATTGTATGGGAGCGAGGGGACAGAGAGGGGCAGTAGCTACTTCTACTTCGGAGGGTGGTGTACAAGAATTGATTGATCCTTTGAACAGCTTTTTTTATATGGGCACGTGACTGAGTGCCAGGCACTGTTCTAGGTGCTGAGCAAACGGAGAAGACAAGTCCCGCCCTGTTGGAGCTTAGGTTCTAGAGTTGGCTAGCTAAATTTAAATTAATTCAAATTAAGTTAACTGCAACTTTCAGTCCCTCAGATTGCACTGGCCACAAGTACTCAGTAGCCACATGAAGCTCATGGCTGCCGTTTTGCACAGCATAGAAACAGAACATTGCTGCTGCTGTGGAGAGTCCCGTCAGGCAGCACTGTTTTGAGGGATGAACCAGCCATGTCTGCGGCCCTTGGGAAGGGAGAGGTCTTCCCTGTTCGCTGAGTAGGTGCCTCATAGGGTAGCCGTTACCAAGACGAAAAATATTTGTGCACAGAGTTTGTTAAAACGGGTTCAGAAGACGGTGGTACCTTTTTTCCTTAACATCCATCCCAAATCGAAAGGTTCTCTTGTGTCCTCAGTAGTGTGGGGTTTGTTGCCAGAAGGAGAAACGGGAAATCAATGTGGGTTTCTTACAGTGGACACATTGAGGTGTTTATGCCCAAGAGTGTAAAGGGCTTTGTCTGAATCTCATATTGTCTTTTCCTTTTCATTCCTCTCACCTTTTTAATTCTCTTTCCTTCTGTGAACCCCCAGCTGCCTGGACTCCACCTGCAGGATTTAATGAGTAGATACTTCCCTTATAACCTCCTTTCCCGTACTCTGTGTGATTAAATGCTTTCCTGACGTCGCAAATACATTTTAAATAATGTGGAAAGTCTTTGGGCTGGCTAAAGAGACTGGTTCTCATTACTTAGCAGTCTTTATACATGTATGGCTCTTGGTGTTGGGAAAGCTGTCCTCTTTTCACGTGGAGAACTTGATTGCTCAGATTTTCTTATGTGTAATCAGTGTCCCCATGGGGCTGAGTCTCTTGCCCACTTCCCTAACGACAGCTCTCTTTTTAATTGTTATTCGTGTAAGAAGGTCTTTGGAGTAAAAGTTTCTCCTGAGCTGCAGCAGATCAGGGTGGGGAGAGGGGCATCTGCTGATCAATGCAGTGGTGAAAACAAAGGAACATTCAAAAAAGGGTAGGAAAGAAAGCACAGTTGTTGAACACTCACTATATGCCCGGCTCTGGCCCAAGCACTTCTGATGTATTTTCTCCTTTGCTTGTCACAACAGCCCTATGGGTAGCAGATGGCAGCCTCATTTTACAAAGACATCAAGCCACTTGCCAGAAGTACGCAGCTGGTGAGAGGTGGAGTGCGGGGCTCATATCCACGTCCACTTGCTGCTGAACCTCAAAAAAGCTGGATTTGTTGCCAGGGCTTAGAATCTTTGCTGTGGGGAGTGGCCTTTTCTCTGAAATTTTGGGCAGCTGAGGCTTGGACTCATGAGTCACAGGCTATGTCTCTCCAAAGTGATACATGTCACCTCCTTCTCCTTCCTCCCCTCCAGGTCACCATGGAGTAACAAGTATGACCCTCCCTTGGAAGATGGGGCCATGCCTTCTGCTCGGCTGAGAAAGCTGGAGGTGGAAGCCAACAATGCCTTTGACCAGTATCGAGACCTGTGAGTTACTTGCTGCCTGTGCACTTTAGCCCTCACGATTTTGACGAGTCAGTTATAAATGAGAGTGGGGCCAGGCCAATTAAGTCTCCCTTGAACCTGTTACCTCGCTCTCCTGGCTAATTAAAATTTTCTGCACCAAGAGCAGATGCGGGGCTCTAGTTTCCCAGTTGGGTCAGTTAGGAGATGACTTGGTAATAGACCCTGCTGTGAGCAGATTCACCTGTGTGTTACTCCGCATTGTGGTTCATAATAACAGCAGGTGCCATTGGGATAGGACCTAGTGTATGTAAGACACAGTGCCAGGTATTCCTTGCACATCATCTCAGATCCCCACAAACAAAATAGCTGTTTTAGTTCCCATTTTTCAGATGAAGAAATTAAGGCTCAGATAAAGGTGTTTGTCAAAGGCAAGAGTCAGAACCAGGAATCCAACCCAAGTCTGTCTGTGTCCAAAGGCCACTCTGTTCTTTACTGTACTGCTTGTCCGACCCGGTTATTACCTGGTGCTTAGGGGTCTCTACTTCCAGACCAGTCACCAGGGCAGGATGGGTGGAGGTCCTTAACACAGCGGGAGCTGACATTTTGCTGGCTCTGGTTAGAGTCTTACTCTTCTTCCTTCTCCCGTTCAATCCTGCCTCCCACTATTCCACCAAAGACAGCTGCCACTTAATCGGTCACCTTTGCAAGGAAAAGCTCCAGAAAAGCCATCCTCTGCGTATTCATTATTAATCAGCAGAACCTCATTTTAGATTAAGTTCTATACTGATAATATTACCAAGACTGCACAAATTCAATCATTTAGAGAGGGATTGGCAAACTTTTCTATAAAAGGCCAGATAGTAAAAATGTTAAGCTCTGCAGGCTGCAGGAGTCCCTGCTGCTTATTCTTCTCTTTTCATTTTATATTAGTTTAAAGGTATAAAAGCTACCTCTCAAGCTTAATTAAGGTGGGTGGAATTTGGCCCTCAGTTTGTCTGCCCACCCTGATGTAGGATATAAGCAGGGTAATGAAAATGAAATAGCCTCAGAGCAGCTGAAACAGACGCTGCTCTAGAGCTGTTGGTCTCACTTGGGGTGAGAATATCAGGTCTCCAGAGACACTTGGAATGTTCTTCTAGTTCATTGCAGATTTCATGTAACGCATTTAATAAAGAATTTCTTTTAGAAGTTGGTTCAGGAGGAAAAATGACATCTCAATATGATATACAAACAACCCCACAACATTTAAGCAGATGAATGAAGTTCAGAGGTACAGCCATGAACAGTGGCCCTCACATTTCATTCCCCTGAACGTGTCGCTGTGTAACCAGCTTTATCTACATTATCTTGATCCTCACTGGAACCTCTGGGGAAGATACTTTTGTCCCTTTTTGATAGATAAGGAGACTGAGGCTCTGAGAGGTGAAAATGACTCACACTAGGCCACAGGAAGTAGAAGTGAAATGCTAGGGTTTAAATTTGTATTTGTCTCAAGTTTCCACAGATGATTGATTTTCATGTTAAAATCAACTTTCGTGTTTGAAGAGCTTTTACATCTAGAACTTTGCCCTGTAGTAGGATAGCTCTTTCTCCAGTGGTGCTGAGAAGTTGACTCATTGTTCTCATGGATTATTTGTCATTGTTTTTTACTATCTTTTACCCAGCCATTTGGCAAGAAGCAAATCCTGTTACAAAGAATTTCCAAGTGGAATTGAGTTTTATATTATAGTGATGATTTGATAATGAAATAACAGTGATGATAACAGCAGTTACCAGCCGGTGACTGCAAACACTGTGCTAGCTGCCTCACAATCTTCTTTATATTGTTTAATCTTCCAAACGGCTTTTGAGAGAGGATTCTCCCTGTTTTACAAATGAGTTGACAGATTCAGAGGTGAAGTAACCTACCCAAGTTCATGCAGCCAGTAGTTCATGGAAGTGGTCTATAAAGCCATCCTTACCCAGCTCCAGGGTCCAAAATGTATTCATTTACTCGACTGACATTTGAGTGCTTGCCACGAGCCAGGTATTGCTAAGCACTGGGGGTACGGCCTTGAACACGGCAGACCAAGTCCCTGCCCTCGTGGCACATCCACTGTGGAAAGACAAACAGTAGAGTGTGAACAAGTGCTGTGATGGGGTAGGGAGTGACTCACAGCTGTAAGGGGAGCAGCAGAGAAGGCCTCTGCAGGAGGTGACCTTGCAGCTGAGGCCTGATGCCCAGAGGGCTGGCTGTGCCTGGGCTGGAAAGAGCAGTCCAGGCAGAGGGCTGCTTGTGCAGACATCTCTTGGAATCCGGATAAGGATGGTTCTGGTTTCTTACAGACTTAAACATTTGGGTTGTAACTTCCTGCGTAAGGTGATTGAGACATGTTGCTTTGGGCTGGACCTGGAGAAGAGCCCAAGTTTTGTCGTTGACTTTCCCTCTCTTTTTTCTCCCTCTTGTCTTGCTGATGCATATACAGATGCCCCTCGATTTACGGTGGGGTTATGTCCTGATAAATGTATTTAATAAGTTGAAAATGTACTTAATACACCTGCTGAACATTATTGCTTAGTGGAGTTTCCCTTAACTGTGCTCAGAACACTCACAATAACCTACAGTTGGGCATTACCCTGAGTTTTGTCTCAAGAGCAACAGCCTTGCTCTCCTCATCAGAAGCAGACACACAGATGGGCATTTTGTAGGCATGATAGGATGCAAAAATACCAGCAATATCCCAGAAATGCTGGCGCAACAGTACACTATAGAGTGTCAGTTATGTACCCTCGTGATTACATGTCTGAGTGGGAGCTCACAGTCACTGCCCAGTGAGCGTCACGAGAGAGTGTCATACTGCATGCAGCTAGCCCAGGAAAAGATCAAACTTTGAAGTTCGGTTTCTGCTGGATGTGTATCCCTTTCACAAAACAGTAACATCAAATCACAAGTGGGGGAAGGCCTGTATAACGATACATGGTCAATCTTAGATGTGTACCTTCTGGGGGATCTTGATTGGCCTATTAGTGTGAACATTTCCCCTTTATCATTAAAAGATCTTCATAGTAATGCCTTAATCCTTACAATGATCCTGTGGGATATGTGGGAGTTATCCCATTTACTTACTAGATGATGAGACCGAGATGTCCTTGAGGTGGCTCACACACCAGAACACGGCCAGAGCTGGGGTCCACAGCTGGGTCCGACTCCGCACAGCGCCTCCTGAAGAGGCCTCCCCTTCCTGGGCAAATGCCCACTTTTCTGGTGGCTTTTAAGCTTTAATGACTGTATTTCTGTGTGCCTTTGAGTGTGCCTGCACTCTCCTGAGAGTGAGCTGACCTGCTGGTGAGATTGAGAGGGGTGACAGGACAGCTTCCTGTACTCACAGTGGAGGCTGAACTGGACAAGCCAGACCCTGAAGTTCTGTGGCAGTTCGTGTTGGTGGAATCCCAGCCTGGAGGGTGCTGCTCTGTCCCCAGCAGCATCAGTGTGTTGCTTTGGAGGGGTACCCACAGAGGGGAGCAGAGAGGCCTGTTTCTCCCATGTGACAGCAGCCACAGGCCACTGGAGGGATAGTGGTTAGAGCTGCCATTGGGGACCCAGATTCATCAGTTTTAACTTCCCAGTGTTACCAAGTGCACTGGGGAGCACTCTCCTGAGACTGCATGTGAAGAACATTTTCCAGCTGGACCACACATGAGGAGCCAAAACATTTCTGGGTTGTGAGTTGTTGGTGGTCACATTGGTGGCCATGGTGGGGTTGGAGCATGAGCTCTTTTCCCTGTGGTTTTGGAGCACACGGAAGTCAGCCAGGGGCTAGGAGGCCTGTCTCTGCCTTGAGCAGCACAGGCCAGTGGTTACTCTGGGTTTTCTAGAAACCACACTGTTCCATGGCTGATATGGATTTGTCCATCTATCTCCCTTGCATGTTGGCAAGCGGGCTCAGGCAAAGGTCACTCTGAGGGGAGGCATGCCCTCCCACCCCACCCCATGACAACACCTTGAGTCTGTTGGCTTTGGTCACTCTGAACTGCTGCATGAGGGGCCAGGACATGGCATGTGTCCTGGGTCTGGTGAGAGGAGCTCAGAGCCTCAGGCAGACCCCACCTCTGCCAGAAAGAAAAGGGAGTCATTTGAAAAGCCACTGCCCCGACAGCAGGACTGGCACAGCATTGTACCCAGGAGGGCCGGGCAAGTAGAGCCCCACTCCAAACTGGAGCTTGGCCTGCACCCCAGAGGGATGGAGAGATGTGAAGAGCAGACCTGTCCCCCATGCTGAGTCCTGACAACCCATGCTAACTGAGTCCTGACAACCCAGGTGTTTCTGAATCTTGAATCCTGATGAATGGCAGTTAGGACTGGGTTTATGCTCTGGCCACTTGACCTCTCACCACTCAATGGCTGAATGCTGTCAGATCCCAGCCACAGTGGGGCTCCAAGTCCTTTTGTGGTGAGCATTGTGCTTTAAGGAGCCTTCCAGGGGCTGATTGTCCTGTGGATCACTCGCGGGAAGGGCCTCACTCTGTCCTGGGAGGCTGCACTGAATTCAACTAACATGGGAGCCTGGGAGGCCGGCGGTGCTCTCTCCTGCTACTCCCCCAAGCCCCCACAATCCCTGTGCTTTAAGACTGAATGCGCTGGAATTTTTGTTGTCATCCAGTAAATAGGCAGACACAGCTTCTGCCAGCACTGGCAGTGTGTGTGTGTATGTGCACCCGCGTGGGTGCGTACACGCACAGTGGTGACATGGCATCCTGGTTCCCTTTCCTCTCTGCTGGTTTTTTTTTTTTTTTTTTTAATGTTTCTAACGTTTCTATTGATTTCAGAGAGAGAAAGGGAGAGAGAGATAGAAGCATCAGTAATAAGAGAGCATCATCAGTCGGCTGCTTCCTGCACGCCCCCTACTGGGGATCAAGCCCTCAACCTGGGCATGTGCCCTCACTGGGAATGGAACTGTGACCTTCCAGGTTCATGGGTGGATGCTCAACCACTGAGCTACTCTGAGCCGCCCCTGCTGGGCTTCTTCCTGCTTCTTGTGGGT